AAAAAACATCTGGAAACAACTCTACTGGTTGGGCAAATGGTCCATCATTAATTACCTCGGGACTGTTTGGGACAAAAAGGCCTACCTGCTTCAGGTCTCCATTCTCCGCACCGCCCATCCGAGGCGAACGTCCGAAGTGGATTCGGGTACTGGGGACTGGACCTCGCCTTCGTAAGGTCCTTGTTCCAGGTTCAGTGGAGAAACATGGAAAAATGATGAGAAACCAATCCAACAAGTTCCAAGGCGAATTCTCTTTGCGTGGGTCTGCTCGAACTAAATGCTTGGGGGAAAAATGGCAACGTCCAATGGACAAAGTCTTATGAGGCGCAACTCAACTGGCTCTGGCACTTGCTTCTTGTGTGGCAATCTGAGATTCATTTCTATGGACCCCATGATCTACTAAAGCTGTCGTCTGTAGTGGATCATCTTCGCTGGCTTGCCTTGAGAAAATGAACAGTTTCATGGATGCATGATGATCCAAGTCTCGAACACCAAGGAAGGATCCACACGTCCCTTTTGGAAAAAGACAAGTTGGACGCTATCATGAATATGATAAATGATACCAGCATAGACCCCCAAACAGCTTAGTCAGCAAGAACTGTTGTTGTTGTTGTAGTGGGCGGCCGCAGCCCCCAGCCCCTGCCTCGGAAAGCAACATAAACAACACGACAACAGAAAGATCAGAGGAGGGCATGAGGAGGACAACAGAAGACAAAAGGGTGAGGGAAGGAAATCAACAAGAACACACCAACAGGACGAAAGAAGGACAAGCTGCCACTGCCACAGCACAAGGCCAAAAGGACAACAGGATAACATGAGGGGAGCACGTCGAGAGGAGAACAGGCGAAGAGGAAGAGAGAATAAGAGAAAGACAAGACGACGACGGGAGGAGTACGACCGGAGATAGGCTGGCAGCCGCGGCCAATGAACACCTGAAGACCGACAGCAAGAAGGCAATAGAAGAACAAGGACAGGACCCAAAAGATCGTGAACAATGAGAAAAGGAGAACATCCGGACAGGGCTCGCTGGCGCAGCCTAACACTGCAGCTGGCCAGCTTGCTTAGCACGCCTGGACACTGGAAGGGGGACAAGAAGAGGACAACAAGAGGAGGAAAAGAGAAAGGTCAACAGGAGGACAAGAAGAGGTCAAGATGATCAAAGGACAGGCCAGGCACCTGCAACAGCTCACCGATAACATTGGGGATGCTACAAATTGCATTGTGGCACTGTACTTGGGTTTGGGCTAATCCTTCTGGCGGTCGCACCAGCACAAGCCGCTGGAACAAATGCAGCGCCCAAGGATCGCATCGTAAGCTCGGCAATCTGGACTGCCTGACCACTGATTTGCTGTTGTTGCTGTGTGATATTCTGGTGGTCTGCCGCATTCTCCAACCCACAACGCACTCGGTAGTACTGTACGACGCTCCTCCTCCGTCTTCGCATACTGGTTGAGTGCCCGGTGCGCGGCTTCGCCACCATGCAGCGTCACCACGGACCCTGGTCCACATGGTCACAGATCAACACCCATTGCTTCACCGAGGTTGGGCTCTCAAATTGATGAGGCACTTCATTCAATCACATCTTCACCGCCTGCCAGGTCTACAATGCACCCTGTGTGAAGTCCATACTCACACAGGACTGGATGGACATTTGATGATCCTCAATGCTCGTGCGATGATCATACGGCTTCTCATCCATCATCGCTAGCACCGTTTCCTTTGCCCCTCCACTCAACTTGCTGGTTTCCCCTGTTGAGTCACACCACAGTAGACCCTAAACAGTTGACCGCCGAGAAGCACACTGACTACCTGGGAGACGAATGTCAAGAATGAGACGAATGGCACGGTGGACACACTGGCCGAGACTGGGAGACACACGAAAAGAATGGCTACTAAGCAGTTGCCCAAGGGCGGGCGGGCGAGCCCAGAGGGAGAGACAAATGTAAAGAAATAAGGCGCTGCCCTGGAGACAAATGTAAAGAGCTGCCACTAAGGTGTTGGCAGAATGCCTTCAATCCTGAGGGTGTCGTGCTATTCCAAGGCACGTGGATGCAAGACAGATCCTCAGGAAGCCACCCACAAGATGCCAAGCTCATGGCTTGTCCTCATTGGTTAGGTATGCCTGTGCCTCAGGTGAACCTTCCATTCCCAGCATCTGGGAATCATTTGTCAGGCAGAAGACTTGGCCTTTGCAGCAAAGATTTCACTCCCGGAGGGGTGGAGCAGCAGAGCTTGATGAGGAAACAATGTGGAGCTGGGGGGGTTCGTTCTACCTGTGTATATAAATATATAGTTGCCACTTTGCTTGGACATTGACATGGATCCACTCCACTGTATTCCAGGGAACACCAAAACAAATATATGTATCAGCGACAGTGAATTGAATTGCATGTGAAGTGTAGAGTGGAGAATAATATAGAAGAATGTAATGACTTGCATTGAAGGAGATGCCACGAGTTGGACACGCTAGCGAAGACTGGGAGCCAAATGTAAAGGTTTGCTACTAAGGAGTTGCCTTCTAGGCGGACACACCAGCTCAGAGTGGGACACAATATTGCTTGACAAGAAGGCGGACACAAAGCCCAGACTGGCAAACGAATGCCAACAATTGCTACGGCACTTTCGGAGGCCACTTCAGGCGGACACAGTAGCCCAGGCAGGCGCATAGGCACATGTAAGCAGTTCCGTGCCTGTGCCTTCGCCCAGAAGGACTTCATTGTAGAAAAGAATCCCTTTTGCCCAGCTGCCAGCTGAAGTTCTGGACTGCGAGAACGCACGGGTGCTTACAGCTGAACCGTGTTCTTTCGGAGTTTCCTAAATTTGACCACCTGAGTGCCGGGCTGTATGTTTCACTATTTCACCTTGTTTCACCTTACCTCTGGCAAATTCCGTACATTCGCCTCCCAGTCTGAGCTAGTGTGCCCGTTTTTTACATGTCCTGAAGATTCATTCTCCTACTATTTCCTGGTTGTTTTCACTTTCCATGAGTTGCGGGGAAAAGTCCATGTTTCCAGCGTTTGGAAAGAAAACTCATACGAGCTCGACAAAAAACAGTCGTTTTCTTCAGAGCTGAAGAGTGCACAGATCAAGGTTCCTAATCAAGGTGAGAAGACCGCAGCTGCCCACCAAACTGGCGTCTAAACTGTGCAGCGTAAAGTCCAAGTGAACGTCTAAGCGTCATTATGGTAGCAGTCAGGCCATGTGTGGCTCTGGAAATCCTGCTGACACGACCTATAAAGTCTTCGTCTGACCAGCAAGCTGAAGTCAAAGGCGATAAGGTCTGACCATTTTCTTCTGTCGTGTGCAGAAGGTTTCCTATCTCCTCAAACATATGGACCTTAGGTCTCATATAGAAAAGCTTCAAATTTGCATTCTTTGCCATCCGGGCGAGCTGGCCATATCCAACCTGAGTAGTCTAGATGTGTTTTGTTCAGTAACATAAAATTTCACGGACACAAATTCACTCTAAATCAAGTCAGAAGGCACACACGTCCCTGAAAAGGATAATGGCACGATGCTTGGCACGTGCCGGGAGGAACACACCATTCTGATGAAGGATATCAAAGATGGCGTTGGCACAGCTGACGGTGTACCGCATGATCTGAATACTCTGACCATCAACATCCTGGGGATTGGATTTCACGCTCACTAGTGTTATATATATTGAATCCAATTAACATATATATGATAAGGCTGAGGTTCTGTTTGCTCCAAGGCATGCTGAAGCCACCTGCAAACTACTGCTGTGTCGTGTCCTTTTCCACCCAAAGACGTCGGGAAGTCGTTGGTCCTAACCACGGAAAAAGCCACATACACACATGCACAAATGAAATCATATGATAAGATCAATTGTAAAATTCTGGTAATACACAGCACACAAATTCAACATGCAACTTAGGTTCGTGTCCATCTTGAAGCTATCCCTGCTAAACACTTTGCAGCTTGTGTACTTCTTGTGCTGATGGACCCACTGGATAAAGAAGTCAAATGCAAGCTCCAACATATCGTCAAACTTCCGTGCATACCCGAAACATTGAAGTCTAGCCATCCAACAAATGCAGCTAGCCGCCATATCGGCACCAAATCCAAGGTGGAAGGTGTGAAAAATATCTGGCCTAATATTTCTGGGGTCTTCACCCCCAGCCAGATCCCGCAGCGGTGACCTTTCATCCTTGAAAGGAGCTGAGGATGGTTGCACCCTCCATGGTGCATCATCGCTGAAGTTCCACCACTCCTGGCATTTGCAAAAAACATCGAAAGGGTAAAGGGGGTGTTTGTGGTCCCTGCCTCACTGCTGCACAAATGACACTTTCGCAGCGATGTGAACCCTGTCTTCAGGCCCCATACCTGAAAGCCGCTAGTCAAAAGATACGGCTAAACCCTGTTGGGGCCTAAGAGCACAGAAGCAAGAAGAAAACAATGAAAAGATCACTTGCCTTCCGTAGGAATGGCCAATCTCCCTTGCATCCACACCATGAAAACCTGAAAGTATGGCCACCAGCCTGCAGGGAAGTTTCATAGGGTGATACCCAGCCCCACGTGGTCAGGCGGTCAAACATGCAAACAATCTCACAACAAACCCCGGTCCTGAACTCCCTCCTCAAATATCCCACGCATTTGCCGTGTCCATTCAACACTGATATCATGCAAGGTGTTCTCCCCACTGTAAAGCTTGGACGACACACATGTAAACAACATTCGGCTGCAGAACGAATGGCCAGAAACAGTAGTACTGGCAGGACCAGTGAAAGGTATCAGGACCTGCCAACTCTCAACCATGAAAGGCTGCTGTCGGGCACCTCGTCCTTCATCGCCATGAATCAAATATGGGATCACTGTTGACCAATCCAGGTCTGAGTGCTGGTAGATGTCGTGGTTTGGGTCAAACTCCCGGTATGTTTGCCAAAACCCGGAGAAAAGAGTCTTCCATTGAGACTCCTCTGTCAAATCAAACCCACCCAACATGAATCGAGGGTATGTATTGAGCATCACCGATGCCCATGATTTCATTGAGAGGCACGGCCAATAGACTTGGACTTCCCTCACCCGAGGCCGCCTCACACGAATCCTCACCCTGCAAAGGTCCAGTTGAATGGGCAAAGACACTCCTCTTTTCAAGATACAGGTCTGCAAGTTCCGGGTCACATTTGTTTTTGACCGTCCAGCTTTAGCAATTTGACATAGAAGATCGCCTGCACCTAGGATCTTGAAGTAAACCAACAAAATGTCTACCTTGGCCACGTATCTTGGAATCTCAATCAAGGCACGCTGTCCCTGATGCATCCGCCTTGAAGCTGCTAGTGTTGCTACCCTGGATGTTCTCTTGGCAGATTCAGCCTGAGAACAGACATGATATGTATAGCATATACATATATAATAAAACACATATTTCATAAATTGTAGGTTTGCAACTGTTAATACAACCATGGCACTCCCCGGACATAATCTTCCAGAATCTCTAGGGCGGCCTCATCATCTAGTTCTTGTTCACATTGTTCTAAAAGGCCATCTCCTCAACACAACAAGTGGGGCAGCACATTTCTCTCCCACCCCTTCCACCGTCTTCCCACCAACGATGAAGCGGCTGCGCGCTGTGACGCACCTGCTGATCGAACAACACTCAACCTGCTATAGCCTTTTTGCGAGTTTGCTGAACAAGCTGCAGCATGCTCTTGCAAGAAGGTCTTGAAAGAGTAGTTGAGATAAACTTTTTTTGTGCCGATGCCAATGCCTTCATCTATGATTCGCACAAGATAAACCCCAATTGTGCACATACCCTAAGGCACAGCTGGACAAACACCTAAATCAAAAGCACATCGCACACACGTGTCAACATAACACGCGTATTAGATTGAAGGGCCAAGGCATGGCTTACTTACCAGCCTTCCCTTTCGACTTTGCCTTGCCCTTTGGCTTAGGCTTTGAACTGGAAGACTTTTCAACCCTTGCCTTTTTGGACCGGGTGTTAGACTCATTTTCTGCAGGTTCGTTTTTTTCTTCAGTCTTTCTCTTGGGTGGTTGCGTTCGCTTCCCAGCCGCCGGCTTTGTCGGTGGCTTCAAAGCCCTGCCAAAGATATGGCAACATATCGTGCACATACATAAACAAGTTACCAGGAGAAGTTAATGAGCCTTGCACGGGATACAATGTTGTTGACCCCGACGTCAATCTTGGTGCATGACACGAACAAGTCCCGGAGCGTCTTCTTTTGTGCATCCTGAGTACAGTACCAAACCAACATGTTGCCAAATCCGTATATATAAGTTGAATGGTCACAGGTGACATGTGGAACAAATTTGCTTCCGTGCTTCAGATGGCGGTGCAGTCATATCACATGAGTCCGTCTGGAGTTTCTCCAACTTTTGGTAGTGATCCACGTAGTGGTTCTTCTTGATGTTCATCTCGTTCAAAACCCTTGGCACACACCACCAGCTATGCACATGTAGGGTGGTCATGAATGCACATTTCAGACCATCAATTCATGCCCCATGCATACTACTTGGAAGCGAGTTGCACTTTTGCACGTTCAGTATTGTGTTTCTCGAGCTTCTCCTGCCAGTGCACAAGTTCTCAGCAACTATCCATCAAGAGTTTAAAGGATTATATATAACATATTGCATTGAACATCACACACCCTGAACCAGCCTTCACCTCATCGATCTTATCAAGTTTTTTCCCCATTTGGTCAAGGAAGGAGCCAATGTAGCCTTAGCTTTACGCTTTGTACTGCTGCTACCTGTAGATCTCTTGACGATAGTGCCACTGCAACATCAAATGTGCCACACTGCAATAACATATATAGTGAGAATTGCAACTCAGAAACTGTAAGGGTCTTGATTCTGTTGAACCATAGGTAATCCATTCAACTTTGCTGATTGCGCACTCTGAGCTGCCATCATGTTCCCAGCACCCTCGCCCTCCCCGGTGTGCTGCCTTAATGGAATCGCGCTAAAAGTGCAAAAAGTACGCACAGAACATTCAGAATTCCAGCACCTGCATATCTTGTTTATTTTGTGTTAACCAAATGACTGTAAAGCAGATTCTGCAGTGATCTCACCAAAGTCCAGAATGGATCCATCAGGATCTTCAACGTCCATCTCAACCTTGCCAATCGATTCCTTGCACTTTGTTTCCTCCCAGGAGTACGTACTACTTGTAGGAATCTTGAACTCCTCAAGCTGGTGAATCTCATTCTTCCTGATCAAGCCACGAGATGTAGCCCAGGCACGTGCATTGCGAATCATTTCCCTAAGTAGAACAAGCGAGGCAGCCATATGCATGGCCTTTGGTATGAAAGACAAACTGAAGCCCTACAAACATTGCAAGAATATGCCAACCCAGGCACTCTGTCCAACCAAGTTGTGACAAGGTTACAGAGTTGTGCCACCCACCCTCAATCTTAGATTGTTCCTGCTGGCGATAGATCTGACGAACTGTGGCTTCAACAGCCGCAAAGGTACCCTGATCTCTGAGGGCCTGCGCCAACTTCGGTCCTGAAGCAAACCCGCATGTACCCTCTTCAAACAATATAGCGCACACATGCCTGTCCTTTAAATGTTGTGTCAGTCTTGCCTAGCAAAACAAAATGGTCACAAGCGCCTGCTCACTCATCTCACTGCCATTTCTTTAGATGTTGCCTAGACACGCTTTGTAGGATCCCGGTACAGCGCTTGTGCCTCCTTGCTCGCTGCGACATCGCCTTTCTTGTTCGGTGTGAAATAGCGACGAAGCCTGCAAGAATATTCTAGATAAGATCATGTGTGCAATGTCATTTCATTGGCTGATAGCATTCACACATATTCACACGTTTGCACAATGACATACATTAATCAAGAAACTTCCAATAAATTCCATCTTTGTACACGTTGTTCTTGTCAAATGCTGACTCAGAAAGCTTTTCTCCCTTAGTACCCTCAGATTCCATCTTGGTCGCTTCCCCACCCTTCGCTGCCAGTCGTGCAGCTTTGGCGGCATTCAAACATGCTGCCGTCCTTTCAGCAGCAGTAGATTTGTTGAGACTTGAAGACTTGTCGTTTGGCAAATCAACTCCCGGGTGTGCTTCAGGGGCGCCATAAGGAACAAGTTCCAGGGGTGCTTCAGGGGACGGTTTCAATCCATCTGCAGGTAGTTCAGGTGCAGCAGGTGAGGGTTCATCAACATGCCCAAAGGTCAAAGTACGAGCCAAAAGAAGGGGTGAACCTTCTGGGACACCAGCCTTAGCAGCTTCAGATGTGACACCTGTTGACGAACCATCAAGCATGTCTTGTTGTCTTAGCTTGGCAGACCTTGCCAACACCTTCTCAAGCTTTGCCTGCTCCCGCGCTTCAACCCTCCAGTGACTGTCATATTCAGTCTCACTCCCAGTGTTTGAAATGCTTCTATTGAGGGCAAGTGCCTTCTGCTGGTAGTCATAGCGAAGAGTCTCTGCGGAAGGTGACGGGGCCGGTGAAGCTACAGGCCTTCCATCAGCAACAGGTCGTCCACCAACAACAAACTCTCCAGCTGCGCTAGGAATCTGGAAGAGGTCACCTAGGCTTCAAAAACATATACATATATGCACGCTCCAGTTCCCCAGAATAGTTTGAACATCTTAAAGCAAAAGGAAATGTATCATCTAGTCACGTGCACCCTGGGCAGGTGAACCCCCACATTCATCCGCAAGTTCCTTTTGAATCCGTGCTACTGCAGCAGCTGCAGCCTAGGCAACGCATCAAAAACAAAGAAAAGACTACACTCATTGCACAAGTTCCTTGTTTAGAACAAATACCTCTGAAGCTAGTAGCTTTGATTTGCTGATCAATATCGAAGTCGTTGCCGGTAACCATTTGATCAGCCATTGCCGCAGCTCCTCCCTCTAATGAGGCAGCTGTGTGCAAAGATGTACAGCTAGACATGTACCACCTTCTTAAGTATAGGCAAAGCCAACAGGAACGTTTGAGCCCTGATGTCAAGAAAAAACAATTCAGGTCCAACCTGTAAGACCACCTCACGAATGCAACATATACAGCGCGCTATACTACTGTTCAGCCTTTTGAAGACTTGCCCACCATGTTATGCAGGCACAGTGCACTGAATTTCATCTGAATTGGTAAGAAAAGGTGGCTTGCCACTGGTTTGGAGAACACATGAAACTCCGGAAATCCGTCTTTTTCCGATTTGCGGGCGTTTGCTACTTTTTGCGTGTGTTTGGCGGGTTTTTGCGGGTGTTTTGCGGCCAAAAACGGTCGAGATTTTTTGCTTAGGTCACCTAATTTCATTTAGATTGCTAAAGTGGCAGCCACCTTGCCAACAACAGAATTCTGACGAGACAGAGTCTCAAATGTCAAATTTCATCAGCTCTAGCCTTTAGCTAGATGAAATGCCAAAAGGGTCCACATCGACAGCTTTCACCTCAGCGAGTCAAAAATACACCAAACTTCAAGCTTCCAACTGCCAGAACTCACAAGACATATTTTCCAGTAGAACATTGTTTCAAACAAAGTCACAGCTTTGAGCTCATCCCGAAAGGATCGCATGGTGTTTTTCCACTCTCCAGGAATGTGGCGACATCTCATGGTATAAAGGTATTCAAAGACATCAGCTAGGGAAGCAGCTGGCCATGTGTCTCTAATCTCTAGGTCATTGAACAAGCTCAGCTCTGAAGGGTAAGATGTGTAGTTCTTCTTCTGTCGCAAACAGCGCAAACAAGGATTCTCCTGGACCTCTGGAACAAGAGACAAAAGGCTCTTGCCAAATCCAACTGGATACTCCCTTAGCAAGACAAATTGGCCAGGCAAGACACAGGAGAGGCCTACAGTCCTGCAGTGTACAAACTCTAAGGAAAAAGCAATCTCAGTCTAGATGCTGTGAGTCTTTCAAAGAAGAGGATCCTGTAAATCCAGGAAGGCCACGTCCAGTTGTATACTTTCCTCAACTCTCAAAATGTCTAGTCTGTAGTATTTCCCACGTGTATATATATATATATAATGATATAATATATATATATGTCCAATTTAAAATCGCCACAACATGGCTTTCAAACAGCCAAGGCTCGTGTTGTTTGTCGTGTGTGCTTCTTGGCTTTCACCTTTTTGCGTAGTTTGCCCTTGTCCTATCATGTTTGTCACTAGGAAATGTCAACCCAAAATAAAATCCAACTCTCACAAGACTTAGCTATAGGCAGCTAGGTCCCTCACAAGCTTGGCAGCAGTAATTCGCCGATTTGTCCAAACTACCGTTCTCTTGGGACTGGAGGAACCATGGAGCATCATCCAAAAGGAATTCTTCCATACCTTGTGAGGCATCA